CCCCCCTCCATTTTGAGGGGCCCAAGCGGCCACAGGTTAGATATCCCCCCTGGGAGCCCCAAGAGCCTTCAGGAAACCTCAGGTGTAGTTCAGGAGGCCACAGGAGGCCCAGGAGGAAGCTCCAGGAGGTCCCCAGGAGGCCCCAGGAGGCACCAGGAGGCCGCAGGACGCCCAGGACAGGCCCCAGGGGTCCCAGGAGGCACCAGGAGGCCGCAGGATTCCCAGGAGGCTCCCAGGAGGCCCCAGGAGGCTGCCTATCAGAACGTGTCAAGTCAATACACATCCGGTGTCGATTCGTTGATTCTTCCTGCTCTTGTGCCCCACCCCCCCCTCCATTTGGAGAGGCCCAAATGGCCACAGGTTTGATATCCCGGCTGGGAGCCCCAAGAGGCTTCAGGAAGTCCCAGGTGGGGTCCAGGAGGCCACAGGAGGCCCAGGAGGAAGCCCCAGGAGGTCACCAGGAGGTCCCAGGAGGCCCCAGGAGGCCCCCGCAACTCGGAGCTCTGAGACGCCGCGCTCGAGGTGGTCCGGCCCGTTTCGCCTGAGACTTCCTCGCACCACGTTTCGCCAGAGACATCGTCGCAACTCTGGGGTCCGAGATGCCGCGCGCGAGGTGGTCCAGCCCGTTACGCTGGAGACATCCTCGCAACTCTAGGCTCCGAGATGCCGTTCGGGATGAAGAGGAGGTGGAGGAGGAGGAGGAGGAGGAGGAGGAGGAGGAGGAGGAGGAGATGGAAGGGAGAAGGAGGAGGCGGATGATGTGCATGAGGGAGCAGGCAGGAGGAGGGGGAGGCCCCAGAGAGCTCCAGGAGGCCGCAGGACGCCCAGGACAGGCCCCAGGGGTCCCCAGGAGATTCCTAGGAGGCTCCCAGGAGGCCCCAGGAGGCCGCCTATCAGAACGTGTCAAGTTAATACACATCCGGTGTCGATTCGTTGATTCTTCCTGCTCTTGTGCCCCCCCCTCCATTTGGAGAGGCCCAAACGGCCACAGGTTTGATATCCCCCCTGGGAGCCCCAAGAGGCTTCAGGAAACCCCAGGTGGAGTTCAGGAGGCCACAGGAGGCCCAGGAGGAAGCCCCAGGAGGTCCCCAGGAGGCCCCAGGAGGCACCAGGAGGCCCCCGCAATTCGGAGCTCTGAGACGCCGCGCTCGAGGTGGTCCGGCCCGTTTCGCCTGAGACTTCCTCGCAGCACGTTTGCCCGAGAAATCGTCGCAACTCTGGGGTCCGAGATGCCGCGCGCGAGGTGGTCCAGCCCGTTACGCTGGAGACATCCTCGCAACTCTAGGCTCCGAGATGCCGTTCGGGATGAAGAGGAGGTCGAGGAGGAGGAGGAGGAGGAGGAGGAGGAGGAGGAGAAGGAGAAGGAGATGGAAGGGAGAAGGAGGAGGCGGATGATGTGCATGAGGGAGCAGGCAGGAGGAGGAGGAGGAGGAGGAGGAGGAGGAGGAGGAGGAGGAGGAGGAGGAGGGAGAAGGAAAGGAGTTGCAGGAGAGGACCTAACGGGAAGCGAGTGCGATGTGGACTTGTCAAAACGTGTGCGAAAGATTGTCCGGCCCGTTTCGTTTGAGACATCCTTCCAATACTGAGCTCCAAGATGTCGCTCGCGAGGTGGTCCGGCCCGTTTCGATTGAGCCATCCTCGCAATGCGAGGCTCGAAGATGTTGCGCGCGAGATGGTCTGGCCCATTCTGCCTGAGACGTTTCGTAGCACAGGAGCTCCAATCACAACCTCTCTCATTCCTTCTCCCGCCTCCCTCTTCCCACTTCCCGCCTGGTTCCTCTTCCCTCCTCCCTCCTCCCGCCTCCCGCCTCCCGCTGCTGCGCCTCTGCCTCCGCCTCCCCGCCCCCGCCGTCGTCGTTTCTGCCGCCTCAGCATCCGTCATGCGCGCACTGCCTTCCGCCCTCCCCAGACATCCGACGTCACGATTTTTCTTTTGAGACGTGCGCCGTGTACCTCTCGATATCATCCCCGAGGGAACCATCACGACATGCCCCCTCGCTTCCGCGCCCTCCCCCGCTTCCTCTTAAAGTTGCTTATGAGTTCCTCTTAAAGTTTGCTTCTTAAAGTTGCCCGCGACCCGACAGCTTACTCGTCGACCAGGTGCGACCTGGGACATCCTCGCAACTCTGGGCTCCGAGACAGGGTTCCCCAAACAGGATTTCTATATACCTTTTAGCGACGTCTCAAAACGTGCCGGAGGAGGAGGAGGAGGAGGAGGAGGAGGAGGAGGATGAGGAGTAGGAGGGAGCAGGCAGGAGGAGGAGGAGGAGGACGAGAAGGAGGAGGAGGAGGAGGAGGAGGAGGGATTAGGAATGGAGTTGCATGAGAGGGTTTAACGGGAGTCGAGAGGTAGAACGGCCCGTTTCGCTTGGGGCATCCTTCCAATACTGAGTTCCGAGATGCCGCACGCGAGGTGGTCCAGCCCGTTTCTCCCGAGCCAGGCGTCTCAGCCTGGCCGGGAGAAACGGGCGCACGGTGGTCCGGCCCGTTTTGCACAAGACATTCTCGCAACTCTGAGCTCTCAGATGCTGCGCAAGAGGTGGTCCAGCCTGGGGGCCCAGAAGACCACATGTTACATATCCTCCCTGGGACCCAGGAGCCCCAGGAGGCCCCAGAGAGCTCCAGGAGGCCGCAGGACGCCCAGGACAGGCCCCAGGGGACCCCAGGAGATTCCCAGGAGGCTCGCAGGAGGCCCCAGGAGGCCCCCTATCAGAACGTGTCAAGTTAATACACATCCGGTGTCGATTCGTTGATTTTTCCTGCTGTTGTGGCCCCCCCCCCATTTTGGGGGGCCCCGACGGCTACACGTTAGATATCCCCCCCTGGGAGCCCCAAGAGGCTTCAGGAAGCCCCAGGTGGGGTCCAGGAGGCCACAGGAGGCCCAGGAGGACGCCCCAGGAGGTCACCAGGAGGTCCCAGGAGGCCCCAGGAGGCCCCCACAACTCGGAGCTCTGAGACGCCGCGCTCGAGGTGGTCCGGCCCGTTTCGCTCGAGACTTCCTCGCAGCACGTTTCGCCCGAGATATCGTCGCAACTCTGGGGTCCGAAATGCCGCGTGCGAGGTGGTCCAGCCCGTTACGCCTGAGACATCCTCGCAACTCTGGGCTCCGAGATGCCGTTCGGGATGAAGAGGAGGTGGAGGAGGAGGAGGAGGAGGAGGAGGAGGAGGAGGCATGTTTTAACATGCCATGCCAGCCCGCACTGGACGGGCACGCAATCGACCTTGGAAACCGCAGTGGGTCTAAAAACCCTGTTTGGGGATACTGCACTCCGGCTATAATGTTTATCCCTTGTTTTGCAGATCGACGCGTGCCCTCCCCCCCCCCTCCCCCTCCCCCCATGTAGTGGGTCTTGGCTGAGGTTCGGAGCCAGACCTCCCACCCCTCTTCTCGGGTGTTGCTGGAAGTGCCCTTGGGCCAAGGTGACCCCAGGATTCTCGGGGTAGCCCAAACGGCCTCCACAGCACCCCCTCACGGGGCCCAGAGGGCCCCAGGGCACCAAGATGGAGCGAAAAGCTGGGGGGCACCATCTGCCAACACCCGATCTTCGCTCCATGCCGAAGCGCCGAATCTGCAAACGCACACCGGATGGGATGCGCGCGGCGGCTGCACAGCGTTGCCTTCGGTCGTGTCCCAGCTGCCCGGAGTGGACCGCACCGGGCTTGGCCCGGCCCCAGTTTTTCCCCCCTTCTCCATGGGGCGCGTGTTGGTCCACAGGGCGCGTCTTAGTCTTGAGTCGGGCTTGCCCCTCGACAGGAGGAAAATCCCAAAAATAGTCAACATATAGCACGAGGACGATGTTCTGACTATTGCGTGAGCTTTTTCTTTCGTGCATGTGTTGCATCTGTTGTATGTTTCGCCCAAAGTCCGCCTGTAGGAGGACGTGCCCGACCTAGTGCTAGTCCAACGCGTGTTTGCCCCGTTCAGCGCTACCGATAAACGCAGCCCATGTGGGTCCTCGCTGCACTGCCTGCATCATTTTGAAGGGGGTCGGTGGACAGGCACACGTTGGCGCTAATATTCGTTCTGAGGATCGGAGGAGGAGGAGGAGGTCGAGGAGGAGGGGGGGGTCGAGGAGGAGCAGGAGGAGGAGGAGGAGGAGGAGGAGGAGGAGGAGGAGGAGGAGGAGGAGGAGGAGGAGGGGGGTGTCGCCAGGATTTCCAAGGAATCCCCGCGGCCTCTAGAGCTCCCCTCGCGAGGCCCAGAGGCTCCCCATCCCCTCCGTCCTCGGCCTCTCCATCCTCCTGCCCCTCCTGTTTCTCGTCCTCCCTCCCTGGGCCAGGGGAGGAAGGACTGGAGACTACGACAGTATCTTTCGTGATGTCGAGTCCTTCCTTGACCCCGTTCCCGAAATCCTATATGTGTTTGATGTTGCGGTTCCCATCCTCCTGGTCATGCCTTCCTTGCTTCACCTTGCCCCCTCAAGCCTTCCTTCCTCTCTCACACCTCCTCGTCATACTTGACCTCCTTCACATTTCTTACCCTCACCCTTGCCCCCCCTCCCCCCCCTTATCCTCCTCAGTCAGGGGCCGAACTGAGCGTGGAAAATACGGGTAAGCACATTCAACCCGGCTTTTGTCTCCACCGGCTCCCTCTCATTAATGTCGTATTTGTTGTGCCATCATATTCCTTCTTTTCTTCCTTACCCCATCCACCACCTTGCCCCTTCCTTCCTCGGGACCGTGCGGTGGACTTTGTGTTTGACTGCGGGGGAATGTTCAATCTGCCTTTCAGCTACCTGCTGAAAGGTACCTGGCTCAAGAGCCGATTTGGCTCAAGCAAATGTTGCGCCCGACACACGGTGTCTTATCCCAGCCGCCTGTTGTATAATCGTCGGCTGAAAGGGATGGCGAACTTCGGGCTGTGCACTTCGTTGTTGGTGCTCGTCGTGGCCGCCCTAGCTGGCATGTGCAGATGGAGTCAGCAGAACCCTCGGGTACTATGGTATCGTGTGTCCACTTCTGCCAAGGCGCTGCATGCGTTATACACTTTGCCGCAGGAGCACGTGGATACATTCTTGAAGTCATATGAGCTGTTCGACAAGGAGAACTACACGGGGAACGAGGACGGGGAGAACATTAAGGGCTACTACCAGGTAATAAACCATCTATGTGCTGTTGGTGAGGTGGAGAAGATGTACATTCCACCCGTCATGGACCTGAGCCTCGGAGTATTTGGCAATCAGTTGCTCTGGGAGGAGAAAGGCATGGCTGACAAGCTCGACGTCGGTGCAGGAAAGCGAGTCCTTGATGTAGGCTGCGGCCGAGGACGCATTGCGCATCACGTCGCAAGCTACACGGGGGCCACGGTAGTGGGTCTTAACATCGACAAGACGCAGATACGGATGGCAGAGGAGCATGCCAAGGCCGACGGCATGCTCGGATCCCAACTCGAGTTTGTGGAGGGAAACTACAATGACCCTCTGCCCTTCACGAACGAGTCGTTCGACGCGCTCTACCACGTGCAGGCGCTCACGTACGTCCAGGATCTGGACAGGCTGCTCGTCGAGATGTTCCGAATACTGAAGCCGGGCGCCAAGCTGTCCTTCCTCGACTGGTTCAAGCTGGAAAACTACCAGCCGGACGACCCGCACCACCGCCACCTGCTCAAGGAGACCAAGGCGGTCATCGGCGCGGTGCGCACTCCCTCCCCGGAGGAGTACACCGCGGCCCTGGAGCGGGCCGGCTTCCGGGTGCTCTCCAGCGCGGAGGCGAGCACGGACGGCGGCCACCAGTGGCCCCTGGTGAAGCAGATGGAGCGGTACTTCGTGGCCGCGGAGGCCGTGGTCTCCTTCCTGACCGATTGGAAGGTCATCCCCGGCCACCTGAAGATTCTGCTGGGGCGGCTCAACGAGGGTGGCGCGTCGTTCGTGGAGTCGGACAAGCTCAGACTCTTCACCACCAGCTGGCAGATCGTGGCTCAGAAGCCGGCATGAGCTGGCCCTCCGCCCCTGGATGCAGACCTAGTGTGTAGGCTGAGGGGGCATGTGGTACCAAAGCGTGCCGCCGCCGAGTTTCACGACACAAGCGCTGAGCGCTGCCCCGAGAGGGTGCAGCGTACCCCACGCCGTGGAGGACAGACTCTTCAGACCGAATTCCGAGAAAAAAAAAATCTGCCTTTCAGCTACCCGGGTCAATGCACTGGAGGGAAGTGGTTATCAAAAGTTTGAGCAGCAGTCAGGGCGTAGATTTTGCATGGATCCATGGCTTCACAAGAAGATTGCGTTCTCGTTGATATGAGCTGCACTTCCATTCCGTTTGAATCGTCTCCAACAACATGCGATTAATTTTCCGTGTTGTGCCAAACGACTTTTGTTGTAGTTGGTTCGAGTATCTGAGCAGTGACAGGTCAAGCACATATTAGAGCCAGGTTGACCCCTCTTGTTTGGACGCCCGACATGGGGAGGGAAATAATGGGTACAATGCCCAACAGCAGTCTTGCTCATTTTGAAAAGGACTCGCTGTCGGTGTCGCCGCGGCCTGTGTACACTTGAGACGGAGGGCCGCCTGCCCAGCAGCGGCCGCTGTTGGTTTGGGACAACATTTGTTGTTGGGCATTGTACCCATTCTTTCCTTGCCCATTTCGGGCGTCCAAGTCTTGGAATCAATGGTTGAACTTTCCAATGTCGTAATGTGCGCCTTCCTGCAGCCGGAGAATACTTGGATGTTCCCGTGGTATTATGGACGTGTGTTGGGTCCATATGGGTTCTCTGGACTTATTGGTGCGGTGGTCGTATCGAGCCTTATCCGGAGATCGATTGCCTACGCGGTGCGACGATGATTTAAAGAAGCGCTAGGGGCTATGGACCCTGACTACTGTAGTGTATGCATCCACGCCGTGTTTGTAACAGCTTGGTTGGGATGGCAGGGCCTTCAATCTGCGATATTGGTGCACGGCGTGGACATACCACATCGCATACGGCATCCTTCTCCGGGCCAGCCATTGTTTGAGGAATTCGTTGCTCCTGGTGCCGACGTGATTTGTATGTTCGTGGCCTACCTCATTGACGATCTGTTCAGCAGGAAGATTACTGCTGACATAGCTCTTCACCACGCCCTGTTCATATACTATTGCTCGGTAGGCTCTGGTTTTGGATTGTTCAGTTTCATCGGATGTGTCTGGAGGGCTTCGCCTTTGGCCGCTCACCCTCCTTACCTACCCAGCTGAATTGCTTAGGTTGGATGTCGGGTTGACTGGTTGATTCTAGAGGGTTCGCCACTCCGTCGACTCCCCAAACTATTAGAAGGTCACATGATCGATTGATTAAGTCAAGCAGTGACGAAAGGTCCCGATCTTCCTATCAGCCTCCCACGAAAGAATTTCTGAGTAACATTTGTTTGTGAATTGCACGACGTAATCTGAGAGCAGTCCTGGCTCAGGCAGTCTCATTCGAATAGACCGGTTGCATCTTCGAACAACATTTTGATTGGCTCACGATTTCAGGACACCCTATGTTCTAGACGTATTTCATGGTAGGCCTACGGAAGTGTCAGGAAGGTCCGCCCCTGCTCCATTAGTGATCGCTTCGCTCACTCCGCTGGTTCGTCTCGCATCACTGGCATGTGTCGTCGGGGCTGAGAGTGTTCTGGGTGGCAATTGTGTCCCCTCTTGGAGCCCGCTTGGGGCCATCTTGGGAAGCTCTAGGCTCACGGGAAGCGGAAAGGCGAGAAAACCTATCATTTCTTACAGGTTTGTAGGTTTTCGAAAGGGTTTGGGCCTCTTCGAGCCCTCTTTGGGGCAGTCTTACCGTCTGGGGCCTAATTATTCGGGGCTGTGTCGGGGCCACTTCGGGCTGCCTTGGGGGCATCTTGGCGTTGACTCGGGGCCATCTGTGGGCCTGCCACCCTGTGATGTATGCTCATGGGCCGCCCTGGGGCCATCTTGGAACTGCCTTTGGCCTCTGCTGGGTTGCTGTTTGGGGTCTTCGGGGTCCTCTTGGAGCCCTTCCGGGCTTCACTAGGCGCCATCTTGGGTTTTATTTGGGCCATCTTGAGGCTTTAGAGCTCTGCAGGAAGCGACAAGGCGAGAATGTCCAAACCATGAAACAGGTTCTACATCAATATTCAGGAGGAGGCTAATTCGGCATCTTGACGACCTCTTCAGTGGCAGGCGTGGACCGTTTGGTGTTGGGTCCTCGTTTTGAAGAGACGGTCCCCGCGTTCCTCCTCAGCCTCTTCCCTCCCTTTCCTTCCTTTTCCTTGCTTTTGCACCCAGCCAGTACAGCGTTTCGTGGCCCCAGAGGGAGCTCCACCGAAGGTCCCAGTGCAACCGCCCGCATGCGTCCCCCCCACACACTCGTTTCGCCACACCCCTAACACATTTCGTGGCCCCATAGGGAGCTCGACCGAAGGCCCCAGTGCCACCGCCCGCATGCCTCCCCCACACCAAATCTGGCACACCCCTCACACGTCGAAGGCCCCAGTGCCACCGCCCGCACGCGTTCCCCACGCTCCTTTCGGCGCACCCCTCAAACGTTTTGTGGCCACATAGGGAGCTCCACCGAAGGCCCCAGTGCCACCGCCCGCATTCGTCCCCCACACAGATTTCGGCACACCCCTCACACGTTGCGTGGCCCCATAGGGAGCTCGACCGAAGGCCCCAGTGCACCGCCCGCATGCCTCCCCACACCAAATCTGGCACACCCCTCACACGTCGAAGGCCCAGTGCCCCGCCCGCACGCGTTCCCCACGCTCCTTTCGGCGCACCCCTCAAACGTTTTGTGGCCACATAGGGAGCTCCACCGAAGGCCCCAGTGCCACCGCCCGCATTCGTCCCCCACAGATTTCGGCACACCCCACGTTGCGTGGCCCCATAGGGAGCTCCACCGAGGCCCCAGTGCCACCGCCCGCATGCCTCCCCCACACCAAATCTGGCACACCCCTCACACGTCGAAGGCCCCAGTGCCACCGCCCGCACGCGTTCCCCACGCTCCTTTCGGCGCACCCCTCAAACGTTTTGTGGCCCCATAGGGAGCTCCACCGAAGGCCCCAGTGCCACCGCCCGCATTCGTCCCCCACACAGATTTCGGCACACCCCTCACACGTTGCGTGGCCCCATAGGGAGCTCCACCGAAGGCCCAGTGCCACCGCCCGCATGCCTCCCCCACACCAAATCTGGCACACCCCTCACACGTCGAAGGCCCCAGTGCCACCGCCCGCACGCGTTCCCCACGCTCCTTTCGGCGCACCCCTCAAACGTTTTGTGGCCCCATAGGGAGCTCCACCGAAGGCCCCAGTGCCACCGCCCGCATTCGTCCCCCCACAGATTTCGGCACACCCCCTCATCGTTGCGTGGCCCCATAGGGAGCTCCACCGAAGGCCCCAGTGCCACCGCCCGCATGCCTCCCCCACACCAAATCTGGCACACCCCTCACACGTCGAAGGCCCCAGTGCCACCGCCCGCACGCGTTCCCCACGCTCCTTTCGGCGCACCCCTCAAACGTTTTGTGGCCCCATAGGGAGCTCCACCGAAGGCCCCAGTGCCACCGCCCGCATATTCGTCCCCCACACAGATTTCGGCACACCCCTCACACGTTGCGTGGCCCCATAGGGAGCTCCACCGAAGGCCCCAGAGCCACCGCCCGCATGCCTCCCCCACACCAAATCTGGCACACCCCTCACACGTCGAAGGCCCCAGTGCCACCGCCCGCACGCGATCCCCACGCTCCTTTCGGCGCACCCCTCAAACGTTTTGTGGCCCCATAGGGAGCTCCACCGAAGGCCCCAGTGCCACCGCCCGCATTCGTCCCCCACACAGATTTCGGCACACCCCTCACACGTTGCGTGGCCCCATAGGGAGCTCCACCGAAGGCCCCAGAGCCACCGCCCGCATGCCTCCCCCACACCAAATCTGGCACACCCCTCACACGTCGAAGGCCCCGTGCCACCGCCCGCACGCGTCCCCACGCTCCTTTTCGGCGCACCCCTCAAACGTTTTGTGGCCCCATAGGGAGCTCCACCGAAGGCCCCAGTGCCACCGCCCGCATTCGTCCCCCACACAGATTTCGGCATACCCCCTCACACGTTGCGTGGCCCCATAGGGAGCTCCACCGAAGGCCCAGTGCCACCGCCCACATGCGTTCCCCACACCAAATCTGGCACACCCCTCACACGTCGAAGGCCCCAGTGCCACCGCCCGCACGCGTTCCCCACGCCCCTTTCGGCGCACCCCTCAAACGTTTTGTGGCCCCATAGGGAGCTCCACCGAAGGCCCCAGTGCCACCGCCCGCATTCGTCCCCCACACAGATTTCGGCACACCCCTCACACGTTGCGTGGCCCCATAGGGAGCTCCACCGAAGGCCCCAGTGCCACCGCCCACATGCGTTCCCCACACCCATTTCGGCACAACCCTCAAACGTTTCGTGGCCTCACAGGGAGCTCCCTCCGCCCGCATGCGTCACCCGCACTCGTTTTGCCACAACCCTCACACGTTTCTTAGCCACATAGGGAGCTCCACCGAAGGCCCCAGTGCCACCGCCCGCATGCGTCCCCCACACTCATTCCGGCACACCCCTCACACGTTTCGTGGCCCCATAGGGAGCTCCACCGAAGGCCCTGGCTGCGTTCGCATGCGCCCACCGCGCTCATTTCGATACGCCCATCACACGTTTCGTGGCCCCAGAGGGATCGCCACTGACGCCCCCAGTGGCTGCGTTCGCATGCCCCTTCTGGACAAATTCGGTCACACCCCTCACACGTTTCGTGACCCTATAGGGCGCTCCTCCGAATGCGGTGCATCCAACGACGGTTTTCACAATTGCGTATGGCTGGGTCCTCCGCCAAGCTAATTTTCTCTCGAGCAGGTGTCGAAGACTCCCGCACCGACCAGCTCGCCGACTCCCACACCGACCAACTCGACGACTCTCGCGCCTCCCACCACACTATCACCGCAACGAAATTCGTGACATGTTTGTTGCGTCTTGCATTGTG